TGAACTGTCGCCGGTGAGAAGGTTTGTGCTACGGCTTGGTTGAGGCGTCTACTTAGGAGTTCGCTTGCTGCATCCCCTTGAAAGGGGACCTTGAGTTGGCTTTGTTCATTTCTCCATCATATTCTTTGTGATGAATCTGTCCGGATATCCGTTCTCCCGAAGCAAGTCCTGGAGTTAATGGAGCTCCATTTCCATAGTGTCTGCCGAGCAGATTTTTCTGGCTCTTTGCGTTAATCAGCGGACCAAGTTACGCTTCTGTTGGATAGGTACAAAACTGTTAAAGTTTGTGTACTGTCCGGACCAAGTTTTCTTTCCATAAACGCTCCTACGGACGCTACCATCAGGTCTTCGATTTAGGAGGACATCCGAGAAAGGAAGCGAGTATGCTGTCTCCACCTCCAAGGTGAACTAAGTGGAGGGGTGTGCTTTATTAACAGTATTTAGAAGCATATTTTCATAGGTTTCTGCTGGGGTGATGGCGAAGATGCCATCGACATATCGACCATAGTGTTGTAGCTCATTGATCTGCTCGCTGAGTTGAAATTTCTCCAGCTTGCCCATGAAGGTGTTAGCCATGTAAATGTGTGAACTGAGGAGAATTTTCCGAAAGTGTACACTCGCCAAATACTGTTCTGAGTTACCTTATGGGAATTTCGGCAACTTTAAAAATCAAGTTTGTCAGCCAGTGCGGTAAATAGTCAAACGACGAATAAATCACAATATTAAAAAGACGGCACTGCCAGAAAAAAGTGGTTATTTTAAACCTAAATATCCTGACCCGCCACTACATGAGATTGTGCTTTATACAGAAACTTTAGATAAAGGAAGATTCCTTTTGGACACGGCATGGTTTTATACACATAATGGCAGAGGAATCGTTGGTAGTGCACCTCATATACGCCTAGCCCGAAGCTTGTGTCTTATGGTAAGGCTTATGTATAACTAAATAAGTAGGCAGTTATGTACAGTAAACTACGTAATTGCGATTACCAATTCGCTACCAATGACACTTCTGCCCAAATAACTGTGTACTGAAAGATGGCACACTTTGAACACTTATTACTAATGCTTTGAATCTTTCGATATGTGTTTCCATTTTATGCAGGCTTTCAAATTTTAATCAAATGAAGAAATTTGTAGCAGACTTTGTGGAGAGGCTTCAGACAAGTAAGTTATCTGACCAATTTATTTATAAGTAGATGATATTATCCGGTAATGGCATGCTGTATTGCATGCGGCAATAACGTTCTTATGTCCGAGTAGTTAGAAACACCTGAAAAACAGTTGGCTTTGGGAATATTCCATCTTTGTTCGGGCATTCGTCAGTCGGTGAAACCTCAAAATTCCACCTTGTAACTACCCGCTCCTGGTAATTCTAATTAACATGACCGCCAAACCAAAGAGCCCGTACGAGATAGGCAGAAAAAAGACCAGTCGGCCAGAGAGAGGGAGAGAGTGCGTTTACTCAGACAAGGTCTTTAAACAAGTCAGCACAAGTTCTTGAGGGTAAAAGGTACAACATGTTTAGGTCAACGAACGAGTGTAAGCTAGGCCAACCGAACCAATCAGCTTCTGTTCAGGCTTGGCTAACGGAACGATTGGCTGTCACTCAGCGGCTGAATGCAGTTTAAATTTTGGATTATTGATTGCT